TATTTCTGAGGCCTCTGTTTTGTTTGATTGGTCTATATATCTGTTACCATGCTGTTTTGTTACTGTAGCCTTGTAGTATAGTTTGAAGTCAGGTAGCATGATGCCTCCAGCTTTGTTCTTTTTGCTTAAGATTGTCTTGGCTATACGGGCTGTTTTTTGGTTCTATATGAAATTTAAAGTAGTTTTTCTAATTCTGTGAAGAAAGTCAATGGTAGCTTGATGGGAATATCATTGAATCTATAAATTACTTTGGGCAGTATGGCCATTTTCACAATATTGATTCTTCCTATCCATGAGCATGGAATGTTTTTCCATTTGTTTGTGTCCCCTCTTATTTCCTTGAGCAGTGGTTTGTAGTTCTCCTTGAAGAGGTCCTTCACATCCCTTTAAGTTGTATTCCTAGGTATTTTATTCTCTTTGCAGCAATTGTGAAAGATCTGTTTGTCTATTATTGGTATATAGGAATGCTTGTAAGTTTTGCACATTGATTTTGTATCCTGACACTTTGCTGAAGTTGTTTATCAGCTGAAGGAGATTTTGGGCTGAGACAATGGGGTTTTATAAATATGCAATCATGTCATCTGCAAATAGAGACAATTTGACTTCCTCTCTTTCTATTTGAATAGGTTTTATTTCTTTCTGTTGCCTGATTGCCCTGGCCAGAACTTCCAATACCATGTTGAATAGGAATGGTGAGAAGGCATTCTTGTCTTGCACTTGCTTTCAAAGGGAATGCTTCCAGCTTTTGCCCATTCAGTATGATATTGGCTCTGGGTTTGTCATAAATAGCTCTTATTATTTTGAGATACGTTCCATCAATACCTCATTTATTGAGAGTTTTTAGCATGAAGAGGTGTTGAATTTTATTGAAGGCTTTTCTGCATCTGTTGAGATAATCATGTGGTTTTGTCATTGGTTCTGTTTATGTGATGGATTACATTTATTGATTTGCATATGTTGAATCAGCCTTGCATCCCAAGGATGAAGCCGACTTGATCATGGTGGATAAGCTTTTTGATGTGCTGCTGGATTTGGTTTGACAGTATTTTATTGAGGATTTTCGCATCAATGTTCATCAGGGATATTGGCCTGAAATTTTTTGTTGTCGTCGTGTCTCTGCCAGGTTTTGGTATCAGGATGATGCTGGCCTCACGAAGCAGTGGTTATTTTTAAGGCTCAATTAAAGTTTGCCTCTTGTGCCTGCCCTTCACCATACAGAATGGTTTTTATGCAACTTGAAATTATGTTCTATACTAAGGGGGTGAAAAGAAAAGAAGCCAGGCTCTGACTATTAGAGGACATACCACATTTTAATGACTCATCACAGACATGGCAATGTGTAAGTGCCTCCTAAAAGGTGCAGAGGAGACAAATAGGACCAAGGAGTGTGGAGAAGGAGTGCAAGGTAAGCTACAGCATCTAGGCTAGGTCTGACCCTAGAGCTAGGAGTGGACAGAGTAGGATGAAGGGGCTTATAACACTCACAAGCAGTCCCAGGCATGGCAGTTGATGCTCTATGGTCACTGTCTTGAAATTTCCAATAGTTGCATTTTTGCACTTGTGTTTTGCAAGTAAAGTGGGACAACTGGGCACGTACCAGGGGCTTGGACTCTCCTTTCCTCTTTCAGACAGCTCCCTTGTTCCTGCCTGGCAACCACTGCCACCTTCTATTCCCAATGGGCAGCTAGCTAGGCACAGGCATGAGGAAGGTCAGGTGTGCACATTCCGTAAGCCAAATCGCAGGGCAGGGTCCAATGCCTATGAGCGTCTGCTCTCACCAACCAGTATCCTTGTGCCCATGGGAGTTACATGAAATAGCAAATAGAAAACACTATGACAAGTCACAAAAGAGACCACAGGAAAAGCGAAAGGCATCTGGCTTTTCAAACAAGGTATCTCACATTTTCATTTTGTTCTGGGCCCATAAATTATGTTGCTAGCCCTCGGGGTAAAATGAGGTGGAAAGAATCTCTGGGAACCCAATGGGTACAAATAAAAGAGAAGTTGATTCACGCTACTTGAATTTTGAGTGCCACAAATCTACCTTATGTAGAACTCTCTAGGGCATTGTAGGACACTTAGCATCCCAGACGCCTTTCCCCCTAAATAAAAGTGTCAATCCCAAATACTTCCAAGGGATTGTGATGCCACATCCCCACAATTGAATTAAAACCCATGGAGGTTTTCTCCCAAAAACCAGGGTGCTCAAAGGAAATGTTAATATAAGAAATGGACTATGAGATCTTTAAAATTTCAGCATTGAAGGGACCTTAGAGGCTGTCGATCAAAATCCCTGGAGTTTTCAACTCCTTGAGAACCCTCGATGACCAGTCTACCCACAGATTGTCAGGAGTGAGTCTGATTTCCAGTTCCAGGAATACAGCTCGAGCAGGCTCCTTTCCCTTCTGAAGCATGGCCCTTTGCCCAGAGACACATCTTCACAGTGTGTGATGAACACAAGCAAGCCCCAGTACACACTCCCAGCCTTCCTAGACATGGTAAGGAAAAGAGGAGACTTTCTAGACAGAGAAGAGGGGCATGGTTACAGCCCCTCACCCTGTCCAGGCAGAGTTAGACCTGAGTGGTGGCATCATCCCTGCTGTCTATGGCTAGAGATATTCTTGGATTTGGCTTCATCCATCAAGGGTCTGGCAGGTGTAACAGCAATGTTCTATCCACATAAAAGGCCTTCAAAGGCTACCACTTGGACAGCCATGGCTTTGGGATTGGGTTGGGAGACCAGGTGTTTAAGAATTAGGTTCTAGGGGTAGAACTAACCCATCAATCTTTTAAAAATACATACAGCTAATTCTCACTATTCACAGTTGTTATGTTCTATAAAGTCATTGTGAATTTGAACCATTGCTCCTAGGGAAATAAAGAGTTAGGTTCTTGAGAGCCCCTGGTCATATTTTTGGCAACTGATCATTACATAACCTTGTTTTACATATGCTTACATTTAAGAACATCTTATTTTACATATATATTGCTGATTCATTAACATTGAATTCATGGTCAACACTGCTATAACTCATGCCTGAACGAAGCTTATCTAACACATGTATTTTCTTCATAAGGCACATCATAATTTTCTTGCACTTAGAAACACTAGTCAGCATTTCTATGCTTGGAGGACATTTTAAATAGCAAAATTACAAACAAAAAGTACAAAAATGCAAGAAACAGCACTAAATATGCTGCCAAAAAGGACACTTGTTTACAGACGGAGAGCTGAAAAGAGAAAGCAGAACACTGTCATCTTTGACCTGAGAGTTGTGCTTATCCATCCACAAAGGACCAAGAAAGCACCGTGAGTTTTGACTGGGGGCTTGCAAATAAATTTTAGCAAGTAGATGAATTTGCAATTATAGAATCTTCAAACAATGAGGACTTTTTCTAAAAGTCATTCACACACTTACCTACCAGAAATAGCATCTGTACTTAAACTTGGCTTAGCTGGTCTCCAGTCAAGTCATGTTAGGTAGGTTTATATCTAAGACCTATAAGTGGCTAAGAAGACACTATAGTAATCTCTGTATGATTGACGGAATTTAAGGATTTTCTCTTCCTTATCTATTGTTTTTTATGATAAGCTACTATATTTGCAATATGGAAAAGCAATTCTATTTAGTATTTAAAAGGATTAAAATTAAAACAACTTTTTGGTAATTTCAAGATAAAGTCCACGCCCCTGCTTGGGACACCAGACTTCACAACGTTTACGTCTTGGGTTTCATCTTCTAATATTCTTCAGAAGCACTTTTCACTTCGACCATCATGAACCACCTAAAACTTCCCAAATGTATACCCCTGTTTTCCACCTCCTGCTTGGAACATCCTATAGGTTAAGAAACTGGCTTGGGGAGATTATTCAAAATTATACAACTAATGGAATGATAAAAAAATGAAACAAAACAAAAAAAAAAAACACAGTTGCTCTGAAGCCCACACTATCTCCCCAGACTCAGAATGAAAAACTGAAACTGTCAAGGTGATATTTTTCTAATTATCTTTGTGCCATAATCTCAGCATAGCCACATTAATTGCTTATACTGCTTTCAACGTTATCTGGGAGAAGAAAAACCCTAAAATATACTCTCTGCCATTACCATATATACAGAAGGTCAAAATGATGCCAGAAAGGTGTTTTTGCCTTTTGAGAGGAATGACCCAGTGTATTCAGAGCAATATTTCAGCCAGACATTCAAGCCCAGTTTGCAAACACATGCCCTGTGTAGTCAGATTTCATTAATATGGTCTACTCTGGTTTCTTTGTTTTTTTCATTCTAAGAATTTAATATTGAATTTCAAAACCCAAATGGCATAAATAAATTCCAGATGTCCTCCCAAATCCCTAAATCTCATATTAGACTAAGGAGAGGCATTGCTATATATGAGTAGATGGTTACATTTAATTCCCTGAAAAACCAAAAGGATCTTTGGGAGACTCTTCAGCCTTCTTCCACCAAGAAAACACACTAACTCTCCTGAGTTTCTTAAGAAGCTGAGTTCTCAAGATCCACAGTCCAGCTGTCTGACATATGTTGTGCTGCATTCCTCCCCTTGAGGGGCAAAAGAGCATCGTGGTGAACTGCAGGGCACAGAAGCCAGGCTGACTGGGTTCCAATCCAACTGGTGGCTTTGGAGAAGTCAATTAAGCTCACTATTCCTCAGCTTTCTGTAAAATGGGGGTAAACATAGTACCTACACCTCAAAAGGCTGTTGCAAAAATTAATGAGTTAATAATTTAAAGTGTTTAGCACAGTGCCAGCTGCACAGCAAAATGTCTACACTCTTATTTCCTAAGAGGTGATGTATAAAGAGCTGACCTGGGAGGTCCTCAATGGCTGAGAAATTCCCTTCCCTCTTTCCCTCTATATAGAAAAGTCTAAGTCTTCAACCTTTGATTAGTAAGATTCATCCTTCTGTGGGGGACTAATCCACTAACTTCAGATCTCAGACCCCTCCCCTAAGTCTGGCCCATCCCCTACTTTTCCTACCTAAGTCAGCATTCTTGATCCTTGTGTGTTAGTCATAGGCAACTTGACCGACAGCATAACTCCGCTTTCAAAATATAAAAGTTCTGTCTTCAGAGCATTTGTGAACGTAGCTTCAAGTCTGCAATTAATTAAAGATGATGATATATGTAAAACACCAAAGGGCTTACAATAAGTGATAAAAAAAAAATTATAGTTTTCTTCCTTCTTCCTCTTTCCCCATTAATGGCTGGCACCTCTGTTTGTAAGAAACATGTGATTATGACATGAAAGATTCATTGCTAACCTTTGACAGAGCATTTACAGCCCATATATCCTTTAGCATCTCAGTTTCATGCCTCTAGACCACACGTCAGTGCCAGATGGTAACTGGGCAAGCTTGGCTATTTCACGCTTGACTATCTTTTCACTTTTCAGTAGTAACAAAAACTTGCCTAATAACTTATTGTTTACAAAGTGCTTTCACATACATTCCCTTCAGTACACTCTATATCAATACTATAAGTAAGTATCAACATCATTATCATTATGATTTTGCAGCATGGAAAACGCAAACCTGGAAAGACAAAAAGACTGGCCCAAATTCACTCTGCAGATAAAAGGTTCAGTGAGAATTTGAACCCAGGTTTCCTGCCCTGAAATTTTGTAGTTTTTTCTCCCAAATTTCATTGCTAACATGATAGGATTAAATAACGAAAACCTTAAAATATACCTCATTAATTATTTGGTTACATATCTTCCCTTGATGGTATTTTTTCATTTTAAGCTTTGATTTTTCTGCTTTGTCTGGTGTTACCATGGTTGGGAAGATCAAGCCGAGCTTAGTCTTTCAGCCAAGTGCAGCTGTTTTTGTAGGTTACAGTGATGTGTGTTGGATGGTTGGTCTTTTTTTTTTTTTTAAGACACGTTTAATTGTTCTTTTTGTTCAAGTAGAACAAAAATTTCATGGTCATAAGAGACCTAGGTTCATTCTACCTTTCTGTTCCTCCATCCTGGTATGTATGGTATGCAGTTCTCCCTATTGTAATCACAAGACATCTACTCTACCTCAATGCCATGCCTGCATTCTGGATCAATGACAAACTACACAGAACAAAATCTGAACATGTAAGACCACCTGAGCCTTTCTCTTCTAGGAAGCTTTCCCAGCAACCTCTTCCATCAACCTCTGCTTACTTATTATTGTCCCAACTCAGTGGGTCACAGCCTTCACTAGCCACAAAGACTCCTGGGAAGGTGGGCATTTACCTGGCCACATTGTCTCCCCAGACAAATGAGGCTTCTGTTAACAAGAAATAATGGCAAAATGAACATTGGAAAGCAACTAACAGAATCTTCTAAGAAAATTACCATTTTTTGAGAGCCTGAAATGTGTTAGGCACAAACTAAGACAATACGAAGAAAGAAATGTCACTATCTTTGCATTAGACATGTAGAAAGTGATATTCAGGAAGATGTAAAACGTGAAGTGAGATGCCCTTGTCTCTGAACATTGCTATATGGGTTTTTATCATGTGATGATACCCAGTTCAGAGCAGACACTCAAAAAATGGCTTCAAATGTTTCCTTCCCTTTCTCTCCTCTCTCGAAATTAGAAATGCAATGTCAGCTTCCACTTGGAATGCCTTTATATTTGCATTGTCTAATTAATCTTGTTATCATCCCACTATGGCTACCATTCTGGCCAGTGTTATCTGTATTCTCTAACCCATCACACCCCTGACTTGTCAGATCCTGTCAACCCTTTTCTGTGTCATGTTCTGTCTTTTTGGTTGACTCTCTAGAGCTGTAATGACATTGTTTTCACTTTTAACATCATCAGCTAAGACACAGTCTTTGGCTTGGTGATTTATCAGCCTCTTCATTGTACTTGGCAATTAGGAGGAGCTCAATGATGTCTGTTGAATGAATGAATCTCAGCTTCATCATTTACCAGCTGTGTGATCTTGGGCACGTTTCATAGCTTTAATGAGTGAGGAAAAAAAATTAATGTTTGTTGTTATAAGCAACTGAGACCTGGGAGGTGTTTATTATGCAGCAGCATTAATAGCAGCATTAGCTGATGACTACAGCCTGCCACCATGTAGATGGGGGAAGGAAATTTATGGAAGAAATGCTCAGCAGATAATGCCAAAAACATTTGCCATAGAATATTATCCATGCTCTAATAAGACACATTGTTTCTCTAGCATTAGTTAAAATGAACAGACAATCCTGGATTGTAATAACTTCACATATAATAAATACTAAAGAAATTACACATAAATTTTCCATATTGTATACATGCTCTGCGATTTTTAAAATAGGTATGGAACACGACCATGGAGAAAAAAATATATTTCCTGGGCAAGCATCATCCCGTTGCATCAGCGGTCAAGTACATGGGATGATCATGACAATTCAAAATATCCAGAATACTTCTCTCACTGTCACAGCTGCATTACAAATATGTTGGGTTTGAGGTATGGGAATGGTCTCTCTGAACAGTGAGTAGAATGGGTAAATAATATCTTTTTTGTGAGGCAAGAATAGCACCTTTTGATGGTCAGTGAAAACCAAAGCTGGAGTACTTTTGAAAAGCTGACGTATCATCACCTGGAGCTTCCTCCCAAGTGGAATGAAAATACACACCAGAGTTGAACGGAGTTTTTCCTCTTGCTTTGCACACTCATGTGTCTGACTTCGTTTCATGAAACATCCAGTGAAATGGGGATTTTACAAGCAAACAAGCAGGTGTTTGGCACCATATATAAGTTCATACATAAAGGTATGAATTAAAATCTAGTATATTTCAAGGCCTTTGTCAAATAGCAAGGGAAAGCTCTTAAGAGATCTCTTTTTTCAGGCAGCATAAACTACTGGAAATATACTTGTGTACCTTAGAATCATGAAGACCTGGGTTTGATTCCAGGTCTGCTGTTTAACAAATGTGCAACCTTGAGCATATTATTTCTCACCACTAAGTGTTTTCCTCATCTGTGCAAAGGAGATAATAATATTTAAAATGCTTCAAATGGCATTTCCACATTTGCAGTCAAAAGAAGTTGAATATCAGTGATTTCATGTGGTTCAACTTAGACCCGTCTCTCGGGACTGACTCCAGAATAACAGAGCTCATGTATGTCTATTAGTCACAACTCTTTTGGTTGCAGATGAGAAGCACCCATCTCAAACCAGCTTAAGAAAAGAGGGAATGCATGAGCTCATGAAACTGGGCAATCTAGGAATAGTGTTAGCTTCATGTATGATGGGATCCAGAGGCTCAAAAGATGCTTCAAGTATTTTTTTTCTCTCTTTCTCCCTCTGACTTCCTTCTGTATCTGTTGACTGTCATACATGGTGGAGAAGATGATCAATGACAGGCTTCACTAAGAGCAAAAGGGATTCCTCCCTCCCAAGGGCTGTCTTCCTTGTGTTCCATACTCATCCCTCAACTAACCACTGTTGCCAGAAGTGCAAGAGATGGCCTGTTTTGCTTAGTCTACCCTGGCTGACCCACTCACCCCAGGGAAGGCAGCAGGAGTGAAGGACACTATGCATGACAGCCCAACTAGAACCGCAAAAAAATAGGAAAAGCATTACCCAAAGATTACTGGGGTGCTGAGCAAGCAGAATAAAAAGATGTCCACTACAGTGTACACAACATAACACAGATCCCAGCACATGGAAGATGGGTTAACAGCTGGAGAGTTTCCTGTGCAATCCTCAAAGGATGCAAGAGACACAATTTACTGTCTTACTCAAAGATAAGATGAACAGCTTTTCCTGATTTGCCTGAGACTTCTCTGGTTTTAGCACTGAAAATCCCACGCTGTGGAGAACTCCTCGGTTTTAGACTGAACTATCCCAGTTTTAAAACTGAAAGCCTCACATCTTAGGAACTCCTTCAGTCCCAGGAAAATTAGGATAGCTGGTCACCGTATCCAAAAATGGCACTTGTGACTGTAAACCTTAGCTACAGTTGAGGGGATGCTAAGTCAGTTTACTGTTGCTGCATCATGGCATAGTATGGCACACGAAAAACCGCAGATAGTCCCTTGGAAAAAAATGCACAGCCCGAGTCTGTGTTACTTGCAGTTATAGCATCTAAGCCTTTGCTTTGCCTCCCTCCTCTGCCTTTTCTTTTTCTTTCACTGTGTCTTTCTCCCTTTTTCTTTTTCCTCACTTTTTCCCCTTCCTCTCCTTCCTTCTTTTTTCCTTCCTTCCAATCTTTCTCTCTTCTCTTATTTTCTTCTCTTTTATAAATGTTCTTTTGTGGCTACATATTTACCTTTCAAATAACATGTGACTTAGATGTTGTTTGCAATCTCCAAAGGAGCTGCTATATGTTCCTGGACTAAAACAAGCCAGCCTCAGTAAATGTCCTTATCCTCCATGATCTACCAACTAAGTGAGAGCTTCATGGTTGATTAAGACAGGAAGTACATGTGTGATTCCTGTGGACTGGTTGAGACAGCATGGTCATGCTGGTGAATATGAGGAATGGAAAAATTGGGGGGAAAAGATAGTGATGATTGTGAAACTAAGAGATTGGAAATTCGAAGGGCTTGAAACTAGGTTCTTTTAAGGGACATTTTGGTTCAACTATTTACATAGGGGATACATCTATTTATCCATAATGAAAATTGCTGAGATTTGGAACCTCTTTCTTCTTTTGAATCAATTAATGAATGAAACTGGGCAATCTAGGAATAGTGTTAGCTTCATGTATGGTGGAATCCAGGGGCTCAAAAGATGCTTCAAGTAATATAAATCAGGAAGTGCTTCTTGGTCTCAAACTACACTTTGAAGTTAGGCGTGCATTTGAATGTTTTCAATCCAAATATTAAAATTAGAAAGAAGGCAATTTCCAGTAGTCTTCAAAGGAGAACTATTATTCGGGAAAATAGTCTTCTAAATTATACTTTTGAGAGTGATATGAATTTTGTTGCTTTTATTAGGTGCTAAAGTTCTAAAGAATTAACTCCACTTAGGAAGCAAATCCAAATACTCTCTCCTGACAAGGTTTCCACCAAGTGGCGGTCATATACTTGGGACTTCCACTACATTTTCAGCATTCATATATCACTTATACAATTTTCATAATTACCTAGTATTACCAGCACCATTTATTTATCTGGC